CCTCCTGGGTTCAAGCAATTTTCTTGCCTCAGCCTTCCGAGTAGCTGGGATTACAGGTGCATGCCACCATAACCATGGCTGGCTAATTTTTATATTTTTAGTAGAGACAGGGTTTCACCATGTTGGCCAGGCTGGTCTCAAACTCCTGATCTCAGGTGATCTGCCTGCTTCAGCCTCCCAAAGTGCTGGGTTTATAGGTGTGAGCCACTGCACCAGTCAAGATACCACTTTTAAAATTTCAAAAAAAATTGAGAGAGACAGAGAGAATCTGACTATTATATAAGGAAGTGGTTCTTATCTTTACTGGTTTTCTCTTCATTAACACAAAAAAGGGTTTTTAGGCTGGGCATGGTGTGGCTCACGCCTGTAATCCCAGCACTTTGTGGTCAGGGGTTTGACACCAGCCTGACCAACATAGTGAAACCCCGTCTCTACTAAAAATACAAAAATTAGCTGGGCATGGTGGCGCGTTGTCTGTAATCAGGAGCGCATGCTACTCAGGAGGCTGAGGCAGTGCCATACACACACCATACACACACCACCACCACCACCACCAGAGAAGGAAAGTTAGAGTGAGAGAGAAAGAGAAACAAGGGAGAGGAAAGGACAAGAGGAGAGGGAGCAGAAAAGGGAGAAGGGAAGATAAAGGAAGGGAGAAGGAAGGGAAGGAAAAGAAAAGTAAAAGAATTAAGGAAATGAAGAAAAAGAAAGAAAAGACAACACAGATGGACAAGTTGTTTATCTCAAACAGTCCTCAAATGGTTTGCTGTCATTCAAAATCATCTCTGGACCTTTAATTCTTATATAAAAAAATAAGGCGCCAGGCTGGAGTGCAGTGGCACGATCTTGGCTCATTGCAACCTCTGCCTGCTGGACAAATTTGTTCTAAATTTACAAAAATATTGGTGGAAAAAATTTAACATGAGAAACTCAATGTAAGACCAAATCTTGTTTTACCTCTGTTATGATTTGGAAAAACTGTAAGAGTAGAGCAAGCCTTGGAACTCATGCTTCAAGGAATTTAATCATTTATTTTATCTATCTATCTATCTATCTATCTATCTATCTATCTATCTATCTATCTATCTGTCTATCTATCTATTTATTTTTTTGTGTGAAGACGGAGTCTCACTCTGTCTCCCAGGCTGGAGTGCAGTGGCACGATCTCAGCTCACTGCAACCTCCTTCTCCTGGGTTTAGGTGATTCTCCTGCCTCAGCCTCCCAAGTAGCTGGGATTACAGGCATGCTCCACTCTGCCCAGCTAATTTTTGTATCTTTAGTAGAGATGGGGTTTCACCATGTCAGCCAGGCTGGTCTTGAACTCCTGGCCTAAAATGATCTGCCCGCCTCAGCCCCAAATGGTGGGATTACAGGCATAGGCCATCGTGCCTGGCCTATTAATCATTTCTATATGAATTTCATTCAGTTACTTCAAAATTTTAAATATGTTTAAAAGTAGTCTATAAATCTGGTTGGATTAAGGTTTTCCCTCGCTTAAAGATAAATGCTTTAGCCGTCACAAAACAGCTCATGGGTTGTTTTCCCCACTAGGGAATACCTTGAATATACTCTACTGATAAACAGCCCAACAAAAACCTTACGGTAGCGGTAAAATGCCTTTAAAACTATAAATTACATATGGCATATGGTACTCTTATTAAACAGAAACTTCATTATCCACATCATTCCACATTTCTTTTTTTTTTTTTTCTTTTTGAAATGGAGTCTCACTGGCGCCAGGCTGGAGTGCAGTGGCACGATCTCGGCTCATTGCAACCTCTGCCTGCTGGGTTCAAGTGATTCTCCTGCCTTAGCCTCCCAGGTAGCTGGGATTACAGGCATGCGCCACCACGCGCAGCTAATTTTTGTATTTTTAGTAGCGACAGGATTTCACCATGTTGGCTAGGATGGTCTCGATCTCTTGACCTCGTGATCTGCCCACCTCGGCCTCCCAAAGTGCTGGGATTACAGGCGTGAGCCACCATGCCCGGCCCATTCCACGTTTCTAACAGGAAAAATGAGTGGTCCTGTTGAATATTATTAGATAGCTAACTCATGTACACAGACATATTCCTGACAGATGCAAGCTACATTCCTAACAAAGACATCACTATATCTATACAACCAGGAGACTGAATATATTAAACGGTCTGAATTTGAGACCAACCTGGGCAACATAGCAAGACCCCATCTCTACTTTTTTTTTAAAAAAAGGTTGAATATGGCCGGATGCAGTGGCTCACGCCTGTAATCCCAGCACTTTGGGAGGCCAAGGCGGGTGGATCACTAGGACAGGAGATCGAGACCATCCTGGCTAACACGGTGAAACCCTGTCCATCTCTACTAAAAAATATAAAAATTAGCCGGGCATGGTGGCAGGCACCTGTAACCTGCGAGGCGGAGGTTGCAGTGAGCCGAGATTGTGCCACTACACTCCAACCTTGGCAACAGAGCAAGACTCTGTCTTAAATAAATAAATAATCCAGTGTCGGCAGTTCTTTATCAGCCAGTATCGAAAACGGGACTTATTAATTACAACTGTTCTTGACATGGGGTTGTTTGTGCTGCTGCTATTTTTTTTTATACGCCTCTGAGCGGGCCTCAACCAAGACAGCCTCTCCGAAAACAGGCATGGTACGGAATTTGCAGACTGTCAGTGTGTCCTAGAACCACAAATTAAACCGCCTATTTTAAATCAGTGTATCTCTTCTAGAATCATTTGTCTATGATCCAATTTACCAAAGCTTTCTGATGAGCAACTTCACGGTTTGTTATTGGATCTTCAACAGGCCTAGAATTGAAATATTTAGGTTTTAACAAAAGTTGCAAACCGCCACAAGGCTATGCCTGAGGAAAAAGAAAAAAAAGTTGCAAATACCATAGTATGACCTTACTCTGGAAAAGAAACAAAGTTGAAAAACTAGATAGTGTTTCCTAGATTCTTTATCTAATAGAATCTCCAAAAGTTAACATCATACAATGAGTATAATTATTGAACTATTGACACAATACTACTGAATACGAATAATAACTTTACTCAAATTTTGTCAGTTGTCCCATTCTGTCCTTTTTTCTTTTTGAGACGAAGTCTCACTCTTGTCCCCCAGGCTGGAGTGCACGTGCGTGTGACCTCTACTGCTCCACGCAACCTCCGCTTCCGGGTTCAAGAGATTCTCTGTTCAGCTTCCGTAGCTGGGATTACAAGTGTGGCCGCCACCACCCTGAGAATTTTTGTATTTATTTAGTAAAGACGGGGTTTCGCCATGGGTTGTGCCAAGGCTGGTCTCGACTCCTGACCTCAGTGATCCCACCCGCCTTGGACTCCCGCAAAGTGCTGGCTTGTACGAGAGTGAATCACCGCTCCCCGGCCCCAATCGTCGTTCTTTTCTGAT